TATTTAATTTAATGATAACGGTTTCATGCATAAAGAATAAGAAACTGAAATCATTTAAACCATAATAAATGAAGAAATTCATGATAATGAATTATGAATCTTAATAAGAACGGTTACGTTATTATTAAATAAGATATTTAATAATAACCGTTACATGGAATTGCTCGACTACTGAAGCCGGATTCATCAAATTGGACAATTCTTGCAGGCACACGGGGTTACCTAGCACCAGGCAAGTTTCTCTCTCTCTCTCAGATCTCGTCGTTTGTGCAAATTAAGATTACCTGCAATTGAGAACATCTTCAAATTATATTTCGGAGGAGATCTCTATGGATTGGCGGTTTGATCATTGGCTCTTGTTGTCTGCAGAGCTTGCATATACAATGAGAGTGACCACCCAATGCGACGCGTACAGTTTCGGAGTGGTGACGCTGGAGTTGCTGATAGGAGCGTATGATGAAGTACTCATTTCCATTCTGTCGTCTTCGCCGATCAACGATAGCTTTGTGAAAGACGTATTGGACCGACGTCTACCTGTTCCTGAGGGTCAAGTTGCGGATGAAGTAGTTGCAATTTTGAGCTTGGCTCTTCGTAGCGTGGACAACAGCCCTGAATCACGCCCGACAATGAAACAGGTCTCCGACAAGTTATGCGTGGTCAGAACACCCCCACCAAGCCTCCGATCTATTGATGAATTGAAATTTTCTGACTTGATGAGCGTGGAGATATGATCTATATGCACTCCTCTGTGCCCCGATGCTTCTTTTGGTCAGAATCGGTAGACTTTGTTTCCGTATGGCTTGCTTTATTAGTGGTTTCATTCTTCAGCGTGTTTAATAAAAGCATCGGTTGGTAATCGATCTCTTTTCTAAATCTTGGACGCTTGAAAAGTTTGATTTTCTTGTACTATATGTTTCTTGAGAATTTGTGAAGGAAATTAAATGAAGGCTGAGGGATGATTGGTTTCTGATGTGAACCTGCCCACCACGACTGCTCTGCTACGGAGGCATGACAGAGGGCCGACCGATGAGTAGGAATTCATTCGCAGATTTGTTTGTGTTGTTTGCTTTAGTGATTTCGTTACGTAATCAATAGCTCATGCATCCATTGAATATTATCAAATGAAATCTCCTACACCATTTCCACGAATCAGAGCAATGAGTTTCCTATTCTCACGGCTTAGCATATGGGATTGCTACGCTGCTTAGAGTAATATTTAACGCAATAGGAGGGAGGAATAGCGTTCGTATGATGCAGTGCAATGCAATGGTCGTCTGATTCAGTGGCTTTGGAGTCGTGACGCTTGAGGTTCTACTGGGGAGACATCCAGGCGATCTCATCTCTAGCTATCATGATGAAGGTAGCGCGATGAGAGAGATGCTCGACCCACATCTTCCACTTCCTCCAGCTGAAGTTTCAGGCGCAGTCTCTAGCTATCATGATGAAGGTAGCGCGATGAAGGTAGCAACGTGTATATACAACCACAGAGAACTGGAAGCAGAGCAACTCAATGCTCTGCTCATCTATCACAACGTTGGGTTCACCAAACACCGATCTCTCCGCATGTTTTCTTTTGTTCTTTTGAAAATAGGGATTCAACTCGACGAATTTGAATATATGAATGGACAATTACAACAGCGTGCATAACACGGCAAAGGACTCATCGCTTAATTTCTACTATACCAACCGTTGAATGTTAGCTGATGCCGCTCTCCCATAGACTTTCTTTGCTGGAAGACTTTACTGAGATTTATTACGACTTCGAATACTGGAAGAGAATCTGTAAGAACAAAGAAAATTGATACGCCGAGTACAGAACGAATCTAGAAAACGTGAATACCATGGCAACAGGATTCACCGCACGCTGATCTCTCTCCACTTTGTCAACCATTCATTTCGGCATGGGACAGTGTGTTGTACTGTCCTGTAAGTCTCCTGAGGTAAGACAATGGATTTGGTAGGAGTGAGATAAATAATCTAAAATTAATATATCTTAATTATAATTTAGACATTGCTTATGAATCCTTATCTTCTTCTCACAATTCATTGAGCAAACTTCTTAAAAAATTCATCCAAGTTGATATGGTTGAGTTGACTTAACCTGGGAGGTATAAGCATGTGATATATATATATATATATATATATATATATATATATATATATATATATATATATAGGTCTCACAATATTTTTTTGGAAATATTTGTACTCGATTTGTTGAATTGTTAATTTTTTCTTTAGAAAAAAAAAGAAAAATTGGTGATCAAAGGGGACGCATATAATTAACATAGATGTCGTCCTCTCACATGGCTTATCAACTTAATTGCTAATATAGTAAAATACAAAACTATCAAAATTCTTGCCTAAAATATATTTTTTCCTCTCTTACATATTCTCTTGATTGATAATATAGCGATGTTTTATGTTTTACAAAATGAAAAAGAAAGTTACTTTAAAGAGAATTAATGTGGAAAGAGTGACACATCTAACACTACTTGAGATCCATCACACGATTGATCTCTTCATCTATATCTTTTTATTTTAGTAGATAGTACGATACCATACATTACACGGCATAGTAATCACCACATCATCTCTTGTCTCGTAGACTTTTCGGTAAACTTATGACATCGCTGTAAGATTCGTTTAATAAGAGTACAAAAAAAAGTAATTTGCATGCCAAAGACAAAAAAATGGTGGCAGAGAAAAAGTCTTAAGCGGCATGCATAGCACTAGATGTCATGACCAATGGACTTTTGAGTCATAGTTGTTGAATTCTGGTGACCGACCCATGCAGTGAGAGAATTGGTCAATAATATTGAGATGCACTCATTGATGTGTATCCCCTAATAAATACCTTATCTCTTTGCTCAAGGACCATGCAACAGAAAAACTCATATTTGCCTTCTTGTCTTGCTGTATGGCATCTCAGCTTCATAAAACTTTGCTTTGTGCCACTTTGCTACTGCTACTGCTCTTGCTTCCCCGTGCTTTTCTTGTCAAAGCTTCACTCGGATCTCGAGGGAGAGCGTTGCTCCACTGGAAAGCCACTCTTAGGAGTCCTCGATCCTTGAGATCTTGGAATCTCAATTCTAGTCCGTGCAATTGGACCGGAGTTACATGCAATTACCCCGTCATAGGTAGAGGGCGTTCGGTGATCACCGAGATATCCCTGCCGAGAATGGGCTTGGCAGGGCCACTTGATGCACTTGATTTCTCGGCATTGGGATCGCTCCTCCGTCTCAATCTCTCTTACAATCAGCTTGGTGGGGCAATTCCTTCTATCATCTCGGCTCTCTTCAGGCTCGTATCTCTTGATCTCACTAGCAATCAGTTCACAAGCAAAATCCCAGTTGGAATGGGCTCCATAAAAGAACTTCGATTCTTGAGTCTTAGCGAGAATCAAATGGTTGGTGCTATACCTTCATCTCTTAGCAATCTCACCGGCCTTGTGTCCTTGCACTTGGAAGATAATAAGCTTGTGGGTGTCATTCCTAAGGAGTTAGGGAGGCTCCACGAATTGATGTATCTAGATATTGGAGTCAATAAGCTCTCTGGATCAATCCCATCTAGTTTAGGAAATTTAACAAAGCTCTACCACTTGGATCTCTACCAAAATCAATTGACTGGAGTCATCCCTCGAGAATTGAAAAATCTAGTTAATCTCATTTACCTATCAATCGCCGATAATATTCTAACAGGTGGAGTTCTCTCTTCTTTTGGAAACCTAAGTAAGCTACAATTATTTTCGCTATGGAGAAATAAGCTATCAGGTCCTATCCCTTTTGAGATTGGAAACCTTATTGAGATTACTGATCTTGATTTCTCCGAAAACCTATTAACCAATTCAATTCCTTCCTCTATAGTAAATATGACCAAATTAGAGAGTCTATACCTTTGGGGTAATCAACTGTCAGGTTTTATTCCTCTTCAGATTGGAAATCTAATTGAAGTTACTGATCTCTCACTCTCAAAAAACCTTTTAACTATTCTTTACCTTCAGGATAATCAATTATCTGGTTTTATTTCTCTTGAAATTTGGAATCTAATTGAAGTTACTGATCTGGCACTCTTAAAAAACCTATTGTCAGGTCCCATCCCTTCTTTTATAGGAAACATGACCAAACTTAGAAAACTAGGTTTATTAGATAATCAC